CCAAGTGCTGGGATTACAGACATGTGCCACCACACGCAGCTCTCTTTCCATTTGGGTCATGTGGTAAGCGTGTTGGTTGGGGTGACATTCTTCTCTCCATGTGGACACACTTGAAACTTGGAGTTCCCAGTTATTTAAAAATAGGTAGGTGGGTAGGTAGGTAGATGGCTATTTTTGGCTTAAGCTAGTTTGAGCTGTGTGTTTCTATTCTTTGCAGCTGAAAAGGTCCTGACTTAGCCAAAAGTCCCTTCCACAGGTTCCTTTGGTTATCCTGAGCAGAGTTAAGGAACTGTCACATGATGGCTTTTAAAAGATACAATGACCAGGGTAGATAGCAGAGCAGGAAAGAGGGTGAGAAAGGGCTGCTGAAGGCGGAGAGCAAGTCTTCTAAGACAGAGGTGAAGGAAAAGTGTTCAAGGCAAAGGCAGATGGGTGAGGAGGCAAAGAAACACCTTGTGTATGTAGAGAGGGAAGAGGAAGGCAGTTATGCCTGTGGGCTCAATATCCACAGTGATATGTGGAAACCAGACTTAGTATCCAAGGAAGCTGGGCTGAGGTTTTGGAATATGGCCAGGGAAGATATGCAAAGAAATCAGTGACATGGAAATGCTGCTAACAATGCCTTCAAGAGCTGTCTCATCCAAATTGTCCTTGCTACAATGCTGCCATCTCTTTCTGTGGCTTCCTGTCAAGTTATTCTTCTGGAACACAGACATTTCTGTCTTTGTGTGGCCAATTCCTCTGAGCTAGATTTGAGCACCATAAGCAGGAGGCAGCTGGCACAGTACTGAAAGATTAGGAGGTTCAGGCTTTGAGCAGTTGTCTACAGCCTTTGGGCCTCACAGGCAGCCTCACTGTTAGCCCCACCACCTCGCCAAGTGTGAGTCTTGTGGATGCTTCATTGGCAGACTTGGCTCTTGAGGCTGGTGGGGGCCCTAAAAGACCATCCTCCCTCAGGACCTTGCCAGGGAGGGGGCTGCATCCCACCTGGGGAGGAGCTGGGCCTGCCAGGTTGTGAGCCTTTCCTGCAGTGAAGGTGTAGGAGTCCTCTTTGCCCTGGCCTTCTCATCTGGGTGCCAGTTTCCTGGCTGCTTATCAGTTGACCACAGCAAACTGACAACTGGATAAAGCCGCTCCGCTCAGAAATTGTCCCCAGTCAAGGTGAAGGGCATGGCTGGTGCTGCCAGACACTGCTGGACTGTGAGCACCCTCCTCCTTCCTCCCACACCCTGGGCAGCACAGAGTCTCATTCATACAGGCAGGGCAGGTCATGGCCACGTGAACATCACACTCAGCTCCCGGAAAAAGGGCAGAGGGTTTCTTCCCCACAGAAAAGACAACAGTTTGCAGTTTAGGCTTTGCAACTTTCCTAGAGTCCTGGGATTATGGAAGCATCATTTGTCCCTGATGTCAGGGTCTTGGGCAGGAGGTGGGTGGGGCTGGGACACAGTGGGGCTTTTGTCTCACTCTGTCTTGATGGCACTTGTTTGTCTGAAACGTTATTTTGAGATGGGTCTCACTGTGTTTCCCAGGCTGGTGTCAAACCTGTAAGCTCAAGTGATCTCAGCAACAAAAAAGTGACGGGTACAGTCTTCATCCCCTCATTCTCTTTCCTCGTTGCTGTCTGTCTCCAGAGCGCCCTTGCTCAGACAGGCAGGTGTCTGCATCACTTCCTAAAGGCAGCTGAAGAGGCTCCCACTCCACCTGCTCCATGTGCACCTGTACCCTGCACATGGAGCACACAGCTCATTTTCTAACCCTGCCGTGTTCATGCCCTGTGGCTCTCAGTGGCAGCAGGACTCTTACTCCAGGACACATCCACTCTGAGCTGTGTCTGTCACAACTGATTCCCACAACAGTCCTGTGAGGCAGGTCCTCCTTTTGCCCATTTCCAGGCAGAAAACCAAAGCTCTGTGATTCTCAACATCAAATAGCCAGGAATGGATATAGGATTTAAGTGAAGGCATGGTGGTTGCCTAAGTCTGAGTCCTTTCATTTACTCAGCACAGACATCATTTAAAGAAAAAAGGGTATGAGGTTCTTGAGGTGGGAAGGGACATATCAACAATCCTGCAGTGCGTGGCACATGGAGTTCCTAGTGTGTGAGTTTAGCTGAGCTGGAAGACATTTCCAGAATTCCCTCTCCTGCACAATAATGAATTAGGGTCACTCTCAAAACCCACCATGCCATCTGTGAGGGAACTGAGGTGGGGTAGGCTCAGTCTGGTCAGTCACAGACCTGCTGTCTTCTTGTCCAGTCAGGGTTCCCTCTGTTCCCCTGCACCTCCTCCTCCAGGTTCTGCCAGTCTTCGGTCAGCCCGGGTACTCTGTGATGAGCTGTGTGGTGTTCTGCAATGGGCCATGTCCGCTAAGTAGAAGGCAGGTGGGATCCAGCTCTTCCTGGCTACCCGCTCCAGTCTGACCTCCCTTCCCTGCTGACATGGGCCCAGCACCAGCTGCAGTGGACAGAACACCCCCAGCTCCCAGGACTACATGAGGTCTCCCTCCAAAAACCGCTGTCCCGCAGCAGGACTCTCCCTCAGATCCATCCTTAACCAGTATGGAGAAAGCGTTCAATGGAAGTTGGAGGAATAAATGAGGGGTTGGATATGTTGACCATTTTAAGCTTTAAATCTCGGAAAAACTAAAACTAGGTGATCTTATTTTTTCCAACCTTTGCTAAAAGACCAATTATTCATTTCTGTTCCGACATAGGGGCCCCTATGATCACAGCGTTTTAAAATAACAAAGATGGCTCACAGTGCAGTGATTACTTTACAATGAATTGATTGATGGTGAAGGGTTGTGACTCTGTGCATGTGATTTATGTCTTTATTTTAGGATAATTGCACATCTTCCCCTCTGAGGAAGGAGTAAGGGGAGGAGGTGGCTCATGCAGGGACATTTATCATGCACTTCAGCCTCCAGGTAAGCCCATGGCACTGGGTCATGGAGAAATGTGACATGGAATGGCTGGATGGATGTCATCAAGTGATATCAGGAAATCTAAGTTAATGTTACATCCAGCGGAACAAGCAAGCCAAGGCAATGTAGAAGGTGCCCAACTACAGTCAGAAACTGGTGTCGCTGTATAGTTCAGGGATCCTAAAAATGGTGGAGAAACTGAAGATCCAATGCTGCTGTCCTACGCAGGGGTCTAATTTGATCTTCCAAACATCAGACAGCCAAGTGCAATAGTTAGTCATCCTTTTGAGTGAAAGCTGACTTTTGAAATCTTTCCACTGAGTTACCCTTTTGGTCGAGTGTCCAAGACTCCCTCTTCTCAGGCTGTGAGGAAAGGAAGAGCGAGAGCAGGGCTGGGCAGTGGCCTGGACTGGCAGCCTGGCTTCCAGTGCTCGGCCTCTGGGGTCAGTCCTGGCTCCAAGTCCTGGAACTGCTGCCAGCTGTTTGCTTGGGAACAAGGTTCTCACCCTTTCTGAGGCTCACTGTTCTCTGTCTGGGGGAGGCTCAACTGGATGTCTGCATGGGCCAAGCTCGGGCTACACATATCATTTCAGTCTGCTTTGTCTTAATCAGGGCAGCTGCCCACCAGCATTTTCCAGATTTCAAAAACACGCCACATTCTTCTTCCCATCCCATCTTTAATCTTTTCCATCTTCTTACGCAGATGAAGTTTAATTTTTCAACATCTCTATAAGCTGGGTGTGTCTGTGATCGGCTGGAATACTCTTGGAGTCTGAGGCAGGAGGATCATGAGTTCAAGCCCAGCTTGGGGCACTTATCAACAAAGACCCTGTCTCAAAAAGGGATGGGGATGTGACTCAGTGTGAAGGCTCTGGGTTCAGTCTCCAGCACTGCAAATTATCATCATCAACAACAAAAACAACAACAGTCTCCTTATAGTGTATGTTTCAGTCTTTATCCAACTGTGAGCTCTCATCAAAATACCCAAAACCTTCCTGAAACAACAACCCAAAAACATGGTGATTATTCATGCCAGACATACAATATTCTTTTGGATAAAAGAGATGAAATCTTAATTCCCTTTAATTAATTATCGAGATCTGTAAGTGAAGCAACTATCTTTTCACATGTACATGTGAAGACTCTAACCATTATGTACTGCAAACATAAACTAATAAAAATAAAGATCTGTAATAAGCCAGGCATGGTTGCTGATACCTGCAATTTCAGCTACTTGGGAGGCTGAGGCAAGAGAATCACAAATCCAAGGTCAGCCTAGACTATGTAGTGAGACCCTGTCTTAAAAGTGGGGGGATTCTGGGTTCAATCGTGAGTTACACTCACAAAGTCTGTAATAAACTCAAATCATTATTTAAAAAATTTAAAAAGCCATTCTAGTGATTTCTGAATTTCATTTCCCTTCATATTACAATCAGTTCCAGGTCTTGTGTAATTTCAAGTCAGCAAAGAATGAGAACCCAGGAGGCTGGGAGTCATTTAACGAGGGGCGTGTGCTACAGAGCCTCTGTTCCAAGTGCAGTCCTGACATTTGGGCAGCTGCCTTGCTTTAGCTGAGGGCCTTGTCCAAGAACATTTTGATCTCAGCCCTTGCTGGCTGCATCCCAGGAGCCTCCCAGGTGGCAGCAAGGGAGAGCATCACACACTTCCCAATACCCTGACCTTTCCCATATTGCAGCCTGGGGGATGAAGGAGGGAAAAAGAGGAGGAGTTGGGCCTCAGGCCACCATGGGTTTCTGTCTGGGATAAACTTCTTACAACCTCCATGTCTTCCAAGATTTAATAGGAATGATTCCATTCCTAGTCATGCTGAGGCATGATAATAGGATGTAGAAATTTAGTGCCTGGTGGGTGGCACTTGGTCAAAGGCACTTATCAATTGGTCCATGGGCAGGGCCATGGCTGGAGGGCACTGGAAGATGTGGTGGGGCTTTGGGGTGCCCAGCGCCCGGCCAAAGCTGGTCCATCCTTGGGCCTGGGGATGTCCTTGTTTGGAATGGTGACAAGAGCATAGCTGCCCAACCAACATCCAGGGGAATGAAACTGACCAAAGAGTATATGTGGTACCTTTTTATTTAGTCAGTCTTATTTAAATGTGTGCTTTTGGAATAGTTTATTAAGTATGACCTTTTCAAAATTCAATTCTCACACTATATACAGTGATCTTTGTGCAAACATATTTTGACTGTGAGCTTCCTGTTCCCCCCTTTTGATTTAATCTACAAACTGATATCACATCAAAAGCCCAGCTACTTCATTTATTGGGTCAGAGACTATAATTTTCAAACATAATAAGTATAGAGCTAGAATAAGGAAATGCTAAGAAAGAGCTAATTCAAGCCCACAGGAAGTAATATGTTTATCAGAAAAGAATGATAACAAGGCCTTACTTTCTAACAGAAAACATGTGTCCCATGATATTATGGAACAGTATTAAGCAACCAAGTATACTTTCATTATTTCATCTTCATTTAAAAATATTTACACTCATCTCAATCAAATAGGCAAACCCAGAAAAGATGAATTCTAAGGGACCCTGGACTGTCAGGGAATGTTATAAAAACAATATAACTCCAGAGACTAAGAACACAGGTCATCAGGGGCTGCCCTGACCCTCCTTGCTGCCCCTGGCCAGTGCTGCTCCCAGAAGGTGAAGAAGTCCGCACCATCTGCCTCAGAGCTCCATGCAGGGCACAGAGGCAACACCTGAGTCCCAGGTGCATAGGGAGATGTCCCTCCAGGTAGTTCTTCAGGTACAGTATCTACAAGGGGCACTGATCCTGGAGAACACATTTCTTTCTACTTCTCTGGGCAGAGAAATAGCTGGTTGAAGAAAAAGAATACAGCAGAAATACAGAAGAAAAAGAATACAAGCTGAAGAAAAAATAATTACAGCACAGTATAAAAACTGAGGGTTTTAATGGAAGTCAAAACTTATAGTTTAGTAATAGAATTATAAAAGTACAGATTAGCAATTCTAATTTTAATGTCTTATAGCTTTAAATATTTTATATACTTGGTGCCTGAAAACGAACTGTGACCTTTTTAAAATGTATTTTTTTGTTCCCATGTCTTTTAAAGAAACACAGATAAACTCCTTAATTATTATAGTATTCCAGAGAGTATTTGGGACCAAAATTTTTAGGTTTTTTACCTTATCACTAAAGACTTTGATGGGAAGTTACAGAATGAAAGCTTATTAGAAAGCAAACTGGAAAAAAATGTTTAGTCACCTGAGAAGTTTTTCATGCATGAATAATGTCTCTTTCCATGGGCATTATCACCCATTGATAGAAAGGTGATAATACTGTAACTCTCTGGACCCATGATTTGTACCTAGTGCAATCCCAATGTAATGATTCCCACTCTAAAAACACTGTCTTCACAAAGCATTCTTCCTATATTGACAGGAATAAAATATCCTGACATTACTGACTCTGTAGAAGCTGACATGGAACAGCAGTGACTCTCGGAACCATTTGTTTGCAGTTCTCCCGAGAGCAAGTCACACCCTATGGGTCCACTGTGTCCCCATGGTCCTTGCCAAGCCATCTTGGTCCTACTCAGTTGCCTCCACTGCAGTGGACAGGCATGTGCCTGGGTCAGGGATGGGATGGGATGTGCCACAGTGAGCAGAAGGAAGTTAGGAATCATTAATTACAGTCTGAGGACACTAGACTGGGAGGAAAAGGATGCACAGACTGACACTGACCTTATCTTCTCTGATCTTTCAGTGCCTTAAAGACTCTGACAAAGTAAAGATGGGCAAAATCAGCTCCACCCTGGGGCCTCCCAAGGTCTCAGAGGTGCATTTGAGCTCCTCCTACTTGGTGGCCAAGAGCTCATCTCTGCAAGTTAAAACTGCTTTTATCAACATCTAATACAATGGCTCTGATTTCACATAAATAATCACAAACTTGATTAAAATGAATATATTATTATTTTAGGTTAATTTTTTCCATTCAAATGTTTATATTCCATCTACCCTGAACAATTAATTGAGAAAAAAACAGGCACCTTCAGAGACTTTGCAAGAACAGTGACATTTTGAAACGACATTGTACAAACTGAGCAGGGAAGAACAAAGGACTGTGGCATTGCGGTGACATCTTCAAGGGGCTGTTTTCTTCAAGTCTCGAATCTGTTTAATCAAGTAGTTCTTCTCATCAGTGAACTGTTCATCATCTGTCCTATCCTTTTGGAAGCTGCTCAGAAACTCAATGAGTTTGGGTTGATTTTTTAACAGAATTTCCACAATGGGCTGCGTTTTGTGAGGACTGGCCACAAACACCTGGAACGTAAAAGAAACAAATACATAGGACAGGACCACACCCCAGGATTGCATGAGCCCTGTTTGTTTCATGTGCTCCTTCTGTTCCGAATATACAGAAAGCCCCACTGAGACTTCCTTACTCAGTAAGTCATCTTGCCATTGTTCTCCTTGGGAGCCCAGGAGCACATGGGAACCATTTGGGTACATTTTGGACTTTTACTTTATTTTCATTTGAAATGTTCATTTAACTATGAATCTTTTGAACAGAAAATAACAAAATAGGCACCAATATAGTCACTACACAAACTGAACAGATTTTGACATTTTGCTTCAAATCTCTTCTTACAGAAATAAAATATTACAAATGGAACCAAACTCCTGCCTTCCACCTTTCCAACCTCATCCCAGCAGTAAGCTACCATCTCCAAGCACATTTTGACCCATTTCCTCCTACCACATATGCCTGTAAACATGAACAACACACAGAATTTGACTGTACTTATCTTTTTACAATTTATTTTTTGAACAGATAATAGACTCAAGTGAATAGTCTCCCTTTCACTTTAGGGGTCACTACTGATACTGTTTTCTTGGATATATTGACAACTCCCCGCCTCATTCCAACTCAGAAGGGCAGGTATGAAAATGTGTGTTTTCACAAAGTTCCACAAAGATTCTAAAGCATAATCGTGGTTAAAATCACAATCTGGAGTACTATCAATTTAGCTATGGGCTCACGGTGTAGCTCAGTGGAAGAGCATTTGCCTGCACAGGAGAGGTCCTGATTCCCAGCACTACAAATAAACAACTCAGCAACACTGTACAGACAGCAATGACTATAATAATAGGACATAATCACTCAAAACTATAATATGGGTTGGTGAACTGCCTAGTTACTGCTGCATATATAAGGCTAGAATACAGATCAAAGGGTACCTGACCCCTATAGAGCTCTCTGGTGTCATATTCTGGGCTCCTGACTCCTCTGAAGAGCTGACGACTTCCCAGAAGTACCTCTGTCCAGCTCCCTACCCTGCAGCCCCAGTAACATACAGCCCTATGGGGGCACAATGCCAAGCTTTGGTTACTATGGGGCAAGGTTCCTCTACTTCAGCAAGTGCAGACCAAGAGAAAACTCTACCAGGATATTAAGTACCAACAAGGGGGGAATAAAAGGCTACAGAGGCACCAAGAAGCTGGAGATAAATGAGATTTAGGTACGGGGCAGATGGGCTCCTGGTGTAGCACCATGTGAGTTAGTACATGAGGCATGGGGAGAACTTTTACAAATGGTGGCAACAAGAGAAAGAATTCTGGGGCCGGGGAGTTAGCTCAGTGGTACTGCTGCCTGCCTTAGAAATGCAAGGTCCTGAGTTTGATCCCCGGTACCAAAAAAAGAAAAAAAGAAAGAAAGAATTCTGGAAATATGGAATTTCACCAATGGAAGCCCCAAGATGGGCATGGACACCGGCTGTGGGAACAACCACAGGAGTGAGAGTGGGATGAGGGTTTTAGCAGGGCAGGCTCTCAGACCCTAGTTCAGTGAGAGGTATAACCAGTGTTCAAATCCCACTTCTACCTGTTAGCAGTGTCCACAAACAAATCTTTTTAATGGAGTTTCATCCAGAATAAAAGGGCCTCTACCTGCAGCACTGGAGATACACTGGAGAACACACACAGGTGAGTCTTCCAAAGACCTTCTGTTGTCCCTGCAGAGTGGGGACTTGGGACTGCTGAGGTAAAGTGCCTGACCTTGTTTTAGGGCCTGGTCGCTGTTCCATCACTTTAGTTCTGGTCAGCTGTATACATGACCTTCCACCACCTATTTATAGCCATGCTAGCTGGTTATTTTTACTCAGTTGAATCAGCACTTCACATTCATCAGAACACTTAATCCACACAGCACCCCTGAGGTATGATGGCTGTTACCCCATTTGATAAATAAGGAAACTAAGGTTTAACGAAGTTAAGAAACTTGACTGCCTGATACTATGATTGAGCCACAGACTGAGGCAGACAGCCGGATTCAAAACCCAGTACATAAACTACCATGTATTAGCTGTATGATCCTGCAAAACTTCTTTACCTCTCTGCACCCCAGTTTCTTCATCTGGAAAATGAGGATAAGGATGGCATGTATGAGCCATTAGGTAACTGAGGCTTTGTGAGAATGCTACATGTATTCTCATAGGCACTGGAACAGTTCCTGGTGCTTGCAGGCACTCAGTGGGGTAAGCAGCAGGGGTCAGTGCTGCTCCACGTACACAGAATTGTTGAAGCTGAAGCTGAGATCAAACCCAGGGTGCTTGTTTGCATTTGTGAGAAATGATAAAACATGACATCTTGCCAGGGGAGGTTCAAAACTGGGAGCCAAAATCCACAAATCTCTAATACTCAACTAGTTTGGGCAATTCATTCCTGAAAGAGTTTAAATATGATATAAATATGATACATTAATTCTTGATGTTTCTGTTCTTTCCATCAAAGGCCTTGGAGATTTTGCTCACTCAGCAAGTGCTAAGGAGCACAGAGCACTGTTTGGAAGCTCTGCATGAACCTGTGGCCGCCAGTGGCTCACTGTTCTCTCATAATAAACCCACCTCAGTCAGGCCCAGACTGGAACAGAGAAGGAAAAGGCTCTCCCAAGCTCTCACTTGACAAGTCTAGAGCCATGAGGTGACAAGAAGCTATTGATCTTTGACTTTCTGAGCTATAAAATACACCAAGGTCCTCTTAATATAACAACCACTGGGACAAAAACATCACAAAGGAAGTTAGAAAATACTTCAAGACAAATGTAAACAAAAACACAATAAATCAGAACATATGGATGCACCAAAAGCAATACTTGGAAGAAATTTATAGTTATAAATACCTACATTCAAACATCTCAAGCAATAACCTAACTTTACCTTAAGGAACTAGAAAAAGAAAAGTCAACTAAACCAAGGCAAAAAAAGGAAGCCATAAAGATTAGAGCAGAGATAAACAAAATGGAAGAGAGAAAAACTACAGAGAAAATCAATGAAACCAAAAGTTGGTTCTTTAAAAAGATCAACAATCGCTTCTCAGCCTTTTGGCTAAGATCAAGTGTAAAAAGATCAACAAAGTTGACAAGCCATTAGCTAGAGTGACAAAAAACAGAGAAGATTCAATGAAATGAAAGTGGTTACAACCTTATAGAAACAACAACAAAAAATAGGAGAGAATACTATGAATGACTGTACAGCAATGTATTAGGTGAAATGACCAAATTCCTCAAGAAGAAAATCTGAACAGATCTATTACAAGATATCAAGTCAGTAATTTAAAAAAAGTCACAACAACAACAAAAAGCTCAGAACCACATGACTTTACTGGTAAATTCTATCAACATTTAAAGAAAAATTAACATGAATATTTTTCAAATTCTTCCTCAACAAGGAACACTTCCTAACTCATTCTGAGACCACCAGTATCCTCAAACTAAAGATAGATAGGACGATAAGAGAAAACTTACCAATATGTGTTATGAATAAAAATTTAAAAAAAAATCTTCAGTAAAATACTAGCTTACTAAGTCCACAGGCATATGAAAAGAATTATATTCCACATGGTTCAAATAAGAAAATCAGTCAGTGTAACACACTACAATGTACTGGGTTAAACTGTGTTCTCAAAAGAGATATATCCACCTCCTAACCCTTGGTATCTGGATGTGATCTTGTTTGGGAAAGGGCGCTTTCCATATGTAATCAAGTTAAGACGAGGTTATATTTGTTTATGGGGCCCTTCCAACTACTGTTGTCCTTATAAGAGAGGGAACTGTGGACACAAAAAATACAAGCATGTAGACAGAAATGTCTTGTGAAGATGGAGACAGAGAATTGAGTGATGTATCTGCAAGCCAAGGAATGCCAAGGATTACTGACAAGAACCAGAAGCTGGGGAGAGAGGATGGAAAGTCTCCCTCCCCCAGAGCTTCCTACAGGAACCAATCCTGTTCAGACTTTGACTTTGGATTTCTGGACCCCAGAGTTGTAGGAGAATAAATTTCTTTTGTTTTAAGCCACTCTGCTTGTGCTTCAAGGTTATAGAAGTCTTAGGAAACTAGTATATCAATTAATTGAATGAAGGAAAACCACATGATCATCCCAACTAATAAAGGAGAAGTATTTGACAAGACCCAATACCCTCTCATGATTAAAAAAAATTCAGTATGGGACAACTGGGAATCCACTTGCAAAAGAATGAAGGTGGGCCCTTACCTCACAACCTCACCCTTTACACCAAAAATAATTTAAAATCAAAACCCAAATATAAGAGCTTTTAGAGAAAAATATTGGAGTACATGCTCATGACCTTGGATTTGGTCATGGTTTCTTAGATATGATACCAAAAGCACCAGCAATGAAAAAACTTAGATAAATTGAAATTCATCAAAATTTAAAACTTTAAGCCAGGCACCTATAATTCCAACTACTCAGGAAGCTGAGGCAGGAGGACTGCAAGTTCCAGGTCAGCCTAGCCTGGGCGACTTAGTGAGACACTGTCTTTAAAGAAACAAACAAACAAACACAAAGGCTGGGGATGTAGCTCAGTAATAGAGTGCTTGCCTAGCATTCGGGAAGCCCTGGGTGCAGTACTGAAAAAAAAAAAAATTAAAATTTTAGTGTATCACAGGATACTTGGAAGAATAAAAAGAAAACTCACAGAATTGGAGAAAATATTTTCAAATCAAATATCCGAGCACTGGCATGTATCTAGAATATGTAAAGAACCCTTAAAATCCAACAAAAAAATAAGCAATCCATTTAAAAGACAAAAAATTTGAATAGACATTTTTTTCAAAGATACATAAATGGCCAAAAAACACATTAAAACTGCTCCAAATTATTCATTAGGGAAATTCAAATCAAAACCACAATGAGATAACCTTTTCATCTACTAGGATGGGTACAATTAAATAAAACTGATAATAACTGTTTTGAGGAGAAAGAGCAACTGGGACCCTGTACTTTGCAGGTAAGAATGTTCAA